GTCAGTAAGTTCACGTCAGCATTAAAATAAGAATCTCAATTTACTCCACATGAACTGAACTCCAGATATGTATAGGCCCATCAATCCTGCCCAGTTGAGCTGGGCGGGGATCATCATAACTCAGTCGAGATGGAAATTGTCATCCCCAAGGGTCAACACAGCCCGCTCAGACTTTAGAGCCCTTATTCAAAGTCAGCTTGCTATAGTCCGCATTTCCGAGCAGACCAGAATTAATTTCTGTTTATTGTAGCAGGAGCTTCATCCATTGAGCTGCTCTTCACTCTCTCATACATGTAAAACTCAATTCCAGTCTCAAGAATCAAGAGATAAATAAAACTAAACTTGGACAAGGCGCACTTGATTCGAAATGAAATTTGAGTGGAAATTATTTACTTCCAAAGCACTAAGATGATCTGAAAAAAATAATTTTACTTAGTACATCACTTGGCTAGTACATACTAACATAGTACTAACAAATTATTCTTGGAGAAGGGTTGTTTTTTCCCGGATGATTCATCCCACCATAATGTACTCCTACATATAACACCGGCAACTAAAGTTGAGGATACATACAAAAATCTTCATGTGTGAATAGCCAGGAGGAAAGAAAGGATGGTAAATGATAATGAGAAAAGGTGTTGCATTTGGACGGGTGGACTGAATGGATGAGCGAAAGGTGTCATGCCATAGAGTAGGGAATATCCCCAATCTTGTGTAAGACAACTAAATGCATCTCAAGGTGCTTCCGAGGAACCTTCTCAAGCAAAAGATAGGCAATTAAGAGATAGAGATAGTCTATTCCTTGTGGAGAATCAATCCTCTAAGCCGAATAAAGCTTACCTACGACACCTAGATGAAGACAATCATAACATTGTCTTCTATGCCCCCCCCCCCCCCCCCCCGGGGCGCCCCTGCGGTGCTCCATACTCATAGCATAGACCATCTATTCCTCTAAGAAGGTAGCACCCCCCTTACTATCAATACCAATCCCACAGAGAACACCCCAGGGATGAAATTCTTGTTTCTATGCATTATTTCGGTCACCTAGAAAATAAAAACATTTCGACGTGTTTTGAAAATATTTGACACTGTTTTGAAAATAGAATAAAAACAAAAAAAAAATTAAGAATTATTTTTCTAAATCATTGGTCGAAATGTATCAAAGTATCTTGAAATACATTGAAACATTTCAAAACAATTGTACAAATGCATTGAAACATTATAAAATACCTCGAAATATTATAAAACAACTAGAAATATTAGAATTTCGATTTCATCACTGATTTATTTCGGTCTCCTTGAAAACAAAAACATTGCAGACATTTCGACTATTTTGAAATGAAATTTTGATCCTTGTCGACCCCAGCGGTCATAGCCAATTCGCAGAAGTATCTGCAGTTCATGCTTCACCTGCTCCCTTTTCGTTAGAAGTTCTTGTTCTTCCACCAAAAGTGGTACAAGAGGGGGCAGTCTCTAGTGAAGGAGCTAGGGGAAGGTTGAGATCGGGAAGCAGCTTTCTCTGGAGCATATTAGTTTAGCTACACTTAATAGGCCTGTTTGGCTTCCTCTTTGGCGACCATTTTCCTTACATTACCTCTGCTACACTCACTCCAAGCTACGCCTGTAAAGCAAAATGCCTTTGCGATTATTTGTTAACATTATATATCATCGATCACTGTTGGATAGATTGGTGAGTCATCAAAAAAAAATCGAGAACGGTCATGCGGATATCTTTCTTAACGGTTTCATTTATGCTATGTCTGCATCGTGTTCATGTGTGTTTATTGAGCTTTCTTCACTTCAGCACTTTACTTCGTTTTATGGAAGAGACCCTTATCTTGAGAGTGACAAGTAAGGACAAGCAATGGAAAGGATAGTTCCTCGCGCAAACTACAAGAAAATGGTGAGGTCATTTGTGAAAGAAGGACCAACGACGATCCTATCCTAAGGGATAAAGGAGGAGTCAGTTTACTTTGAGGATCGAGGAAAAAATCAGATAATTATGTCATTCAGAAGAAGTGTTCTACAAAGAGAAATCCTATTATGAGTAAGTGGAGAGGAAAGATCTCCTCGAAAAAATCAGATAATTATGTCATTCAGAAGAAGTGTTCTACAAAGAGAAAGCCTATTACGAGTAAGTGGAGAGGAAAGATCTCTAACAACTCTTATCTCATTCCATTCTAGTTGCTCATCTAGTAACCAATGGTGAAAACTCAAAAATCCATGGTTTCCCAATAGAACCCTATTTCGTGCAAGTAGATTCAGAACCTAGTACCATATTAATATGGAATTTCTGTGTGTCGAATGGGTAGTCTTTATGTTGCCTGTCCCTAGGGACATCCGTAGGTACACATGTCAAATACGTGTGCTTGTTAAAGTCAGAAATCCTCAAATCCTAGAACCCGTTTCCTCGACATGCTTCAGACCTAAAACTTAAAGCATCGGTAGTTAAAAAAATTAAAAAAGGAGAACTGTCTACTGGAACAGAATGTCCAGTTAAATAAATAAACAAACATAGAGGTAATAAACAGAAAAATATACCACTTTCTAAGCCTGTTATTTGACATTATAGCAAATAAAAAAAAAAGGGGTAAAAGGGCAAATATTTTATTTGAAATGATGGGAACTTGAGGTTTACTATGTACAGCAACAATTACGACTCAATGCTTTGCTTTATTTTCTCCTGGGTGCTCCTATATGAAGTATCTAGTACCCCAGCTCATAATCCTTTTAGACTATGGCCTCCAGCAACCCATTCCAACTTAATTTCAATCTCCAGCAAAAATGAATCACGAGAGGTAAGTAACTTTCCTTCTCATCACTCTTTTCTGTTTACCTTTTCTTCTTCTTTCCACTATCTGCATACCCTTTTAAGCTTCTCTTCTTCCACTCTGTTACAGGGGTACACCAGCTATTCATGTCATGTCTTGCACCTGCACTAGATGTGATGCCGCCTCAACACCGACAATTCTGAAAACCTCTTTTGCAAGTGACCTTCTAATTCTTATTTTGAAAGACCTGCCCTTAAAAATGCCCACAAACAACCAAAATTAATCGAAAGTCTAACAAGTGTTTTCTTTTAAATGGGCTCACTCCCGCTTTTCTTTCTCGTTTTATAATTAATATATCCTACTAATAAAGGGAGAGGAGGGGGTTTGAGTCCATGTCCGAAATATCCTTTATTTTTTCTTAAATAAGTACTCGTAACTCCCTCTTTAACTCTATCTAACCATCTCCATTCATGAACTATCAATACTACCCTTCATTTCGCCCAAATAACCAGTCAACTTTCTTTTTAGTTTTATTTAACTGCCTAATTCTCTCTTCACATGTGTAACCATGTGGACTGGATGTCTAGTTTTCTTTTATGACACACACGTGGACAGAGTGTCCCCATGTACTATAACTTAGAAATGGATGGCTCAGAAACCTAGACACACACCGCACACACCTGGCCAGTCCCTGACTCCATACACCATGGACCATTCGAGAACGTATAACATAAAGAAACTGAAATAAGATGCTGTCAACCAGAAATATGTATCTTTTCCCAATTTTCTACAAACACCTTTTATTTTGCTTCTCTAGAACATTTTTGTGAAAAAATTTCTGATATAGTGACTCATTTTGTGTCTTAGGTACTTTAACAAAATAGAATTAGTGGAGCTAGTAAATTTTCCAACAAATCAAGTGTCTAGAAAAAACATCTCTTGATACGGGAGGCTCTTTCATATAAAGTGTACGACAAAGCTGGAAGTTGTAGTCTAATCAGAATTAAACCAGTCACATCACATGTTTATTGTGGCAATCAGGGTTATGCACAAACTTGACACTAGTCCATTTATGCATACAAAAGTGAAAATAAAGCGACATATCGTATTTCATAAAATGGCATTATAATGTCTAATCCAAACATCCCATCTATAAGCTATCCAAACCCATATAGTTCTATTTGGAACACGAGTGCCTGTCCAATTCTAGATTACTGTTAGAGATGAAATTTCAGACCAACACCGAGTCCAACATGAAATCAACTCAAAGTGCAATTATTGGTTAGACCTGAGGAAATAAACAAGCTCAATCAGGTATGCAGATGCTCAAGTTAAGTGTAATCCATAATTTGCTTGAACCAAGCTTCGTGAGCAGAAATCAAGCTTGAACATGGGTTCAGTGCAAGCCAATATTGAACAGACTAAGCCCAAACCATCCAATACATAGCTCAGCAACGTCATGTAAAAACATATGCAAATTCACAGCATATCACCGAATGCAGACGAAGATTCAAAGTTGTCAACACTTTCACGGCCAATTGCATTAACAGATTTCCCTGTTTGAACAAATTATGACAATTAAACTTGAGGTACGATTCTTAGAAATTCGATGTAGAAAAAAATAGGGCTGCAACCCACATACACACTAGATATACTAAAGCTCTCTATCTACCTCCGGAACAAATCACCCATTCGACAAAAGAATAATTAATTGGGAATCTGCAACTGATCCGGCACAACCTAAGCAACTATAAAGAGAGCCAATATGAATTTCCAACACTCCCAGCAACTGCAAGCCTGAATAGGAGGTGTTACACACATTGTCCTGCATTCCTGCATTTAAACGCCAGCTAACATATTGTTTCTTCCTCCTCTAGCTATCTCCTGTTAAAACAGCTGCCTGTGTCGCTTCTCTAGCAGAGAGCCACTACTTCAGGTCCTCATCCTCCGAATCACCTCCCACAGGAAGATGCCTCCATATCACAAAACCATGAAAAGAAAAGACATTTCTTACCCTTTCCCATCTCAACTAATTTCAACCTGCCACTCTTGAAGCATTCCTGTTAAAGGGATGTCAAACTTCATTCTTAGAGGAGAAAACAATGGAAGCCACCACCACCTCCTTATCCTTAGGCATTCAACACAAGTTCAGGCACCCCCTTTCATTAAATCCTGCTACCGTGTATCCTGCCAAATCCAATCTCAAGCCATTAACCCCCATAAGTCATTCTAATTTTCTTCGTGGTGTGTAGCTGATTTTTTGCCTTGTAGTTTCAGTAGTGGCCTGTGTTGCAATTCTACTTGGACTTTTTTATTTTCTATGAGGGCAGCTTCTTGTATCGGGCGGAATGCACAGGCCCGGAGGATAGCAGGCCCACGGCACCGGCAGAGGCGGCTCCAGCTCATCCCAATCCTGCTGTGCAACCCCTCCTCCCACCACAGTAAGCACTATAAAATGAAACCTTCGAACTACTCTACATTTAATGCATCTACTGATGCCTTATTAGTCACTACATCAAGAAGAGTTATCACTTAAAATGTATCTTGATTTGTCAGAGATACTTGACCATTCATATAACTAAACAATCTAATTGGAGATTAGTACAAAAATGAAATTCTGATCTATAGACTTACCCTTATAGTTCATCAACTCAAGTCTCACTGCTACTTTTCAGCATTTAAGTTTTCAATTACTTTTTAGCCTTGCCAAATACTGATGTTATGCAGAAACTTGATTCTAAGGGTAGAGTAGCAGAACTAATGAGACCATTAAAGAAGCAACTATAGACTACAATAAGAAAGTTGTTGCAGCTGGTAAATAACATTACCTCATCCGGGGAAAAGAAGGCTAATGCATCGGGCTCAATTGAACCGGCTGGATGCAATGATACTATAGCTCTAAAAACAGAAGGAAACAGCAACTCGATTACAGCAACCTTATCCGCATCAACAGTACCATCTGATCCTTGTCTTAGGTTGTTTGCACCATGAAAGTTATGTTCTTTTGATGATACAATTGAACTCTGATAGGCTGAAGAGGGCAGCAAGGAAGCTCGTTTTAACCAATCCAACCGTTGGTAAGTGAAAATGTTCACGTTTGGCACCTCTTTTTCTAGATGCAGTAAAATATCTGACAAGGTTCTCAAATCACTAAGCTCTTCTTGGTGACATACTGCTGATGCACTGCAATGTTTCTTTGAAGCAGTTTCCATACAACAACCATCATCAAGGTGGGGAAAGAATCGCCTTTTCTGATCAGTAAATGCCTTAAGAGCCAACCTGCAAACATTCAGAACAACAATAAGGTGGAAATTTAGCAATCCAAAACAAGAAAGAGACAGAGAGAGCTGTCCTTGCAAACGTGAAAAGCATTTATGCACTTACAACATATTTGGAAGTCACTAGTACTTATTCATGAATTCTCTTAACATGAGGATAGTTTCTTAGAAGATAATTTTTTTTATTTTTTTTTGAACAGCATTCTTAGAAGATAATGAAATGTTACATTGTAAAACCCAGGTAAATTTGAACTTGTTCGGACAAAGGGCAAAATGGTAATTTGTCACTATAATGCGGGTTTGAAATCAGCATTTTTGTAGAGCTCGGATGACGCAACGGACCTCACCGTTGGAATCATATTGCGAAATCAAGCTTCCATGTTAATTTTTGTTGAATTCTGAGGCAGTCGAATTTTATACGTTTTACGAGACAATTGGGTGACGAATGACCTTACAAAAGTCCCTAAAAACAGAATTTTATAAAATTTCCTTATAATTAGATAAAAGTTCAAATAAAATTAATTTGAACTGAAACCGGGAATTAATTAAGTCGTTTTGGGTTAAAAACGGACCCGAAAATAATAAACGTGCGGGTCAATGTGAACCGCGCAATTAAAAAGTATAAATATGGGCTAAATATCTAAAAAATCAGAGATTCTCACCCACTTGGCCAGCTAAATCAGATGTTGAAGAGAGGAAAGAGAAAGAAGAGAGAAAACCTAGAAATTCTACCTTTCTTCTTGCGATCCAAGGAATTCTGTCAGGCGAAATTCATTGAACCAAGAATTAAAATTGGTCTACGCGTACGTACCAAGAACGAAGGATTTCACCGAAGATCCAAGAAGGAGATTTTGTGAAATCAAGAGTTTTGGGGCTTGGAAGTGTTCTTGAGGTTCTCCGCACTTCATCTCACGCTCCAAGAGGTAGGGTTTCCTCCTACTTTGGACTATTTCTATCCTATGATGTTCATATGGAAGGAGATGGGTATATAGAATATGTATACCACTAGTTTATTGTTATGAAAATAAGGGAAAGTGTGTAAAAATGGCTTAGGCCAACTTCTAGCTTGGATTTGATATGTGAGAGTCACTTGTGTAATCCCTTGAAATTAGTTTATGTGGGCATGTTACATGTTTATATTATGCCTAGTAATTAAGTGTAATTGGCATGAGATTGTGTAATGACATACTTGAGATTTGTGTTGGAAATAAATGTTGATGTATTGACATGATAATGAATTTTGGTGATTATATGTATGTGATATAAATTGTCATGGAACATGTGAACATGTGGTTAAAATTGCTCATTAGCATTCCTTGCGTATTGGGCTTGGCATCGACATTGTAATGGTGCATTACATTGCATATTGTATAGGAAAAATTCATCCATGGTCACGTGTATGGGTGTGTGTGTGCATGGTTAGATCAATCATCATACTTGGTGATTGGTAATGGACTCGGAAAAATTGTATTCAAAATCTGACTGAGTCGCATGGTTGCATGAAAGAAAAACTTGTGTCGGGTATAGCAAGAAGGGCTAGACACTCCCTCGGGTGAAAGGTCCGGCTACTTGGTTCATACACTCCCCTGAAGTAAAATTTCAGAAAAGTGTAATGACGTACGAAGCCAGCAGTATGATTCCAAAATCCGATACCCAACAAAGACACATGATTTTGTTATAAAAATAATTCATTTGATGAAAAACATGCAGAAATGAATTGGTTTTATGAAAATATGATTTTATTTCAAAATCGTCTTTGGATGTATTTCATCAAGGACAAATGGTTTACATACATGCATGGCATTGTATTGTGGGAGCCGGAGTAAGCTTGGGTAAAAATGCATGAGTGAGTCTCACCTCATATCATGACATGGCATGGTAAAAATTTTATCGTGAATAGCATGTTCTTGTATGAAATGGATTTATGATTGCGGTTGTTGAATGTAAACATTGCATATGCATTTAGATAGGGAGTAGCCTCTATAGAAAATATTCTACTGGGCGTTGGCTCACCCTATACGGGAACATATTTCAGGTGTGGGGTTTCTACCAGCGGAGGACTCTCATTCGGGGCCTCAAAGATGAAGAAAAGCCGACTTGTGGCTTTTGCAATACATTTTGTACAAACCTTACAAAATTACGGTGTTGAGTATGAAATCATGTGAATGGATTGTAATAGAACTTATAGATATCTAGTTTTATGTGATAAACATCCTTAGACATGTTTTGGATGATATTGGGATGATTTGAAATGGTTTTGAAATGGAACAACAGTGGAAATAGGCTAAACTGGGCAGAGTGTACTAGTACAGTGTACCGGTACAGTCTGGTCCAGCAAGCAGACAGTACCGGTACACTTTCCAAAACTTTGAAAAAAATTGGAAGGCAGACAATACCGGTACAGTTCAGATGATATCGGTACTGCCAGGACCAATGAGCACACAGTACCGGTACTCTCTCCAAAAATTTAAAATTTTAAAACTAAAGTGTTGTGCTCTCGGTTTTTGATTCCAAAAATATAATTGGACAATAAAGAGGCATGAATTATGGTATTTTAAGTCACGGTTAAAATTAAATGATTAAAAGAACACGGGTAATACGTGTGAGTTAAAATTCCGGGTAATGGAATAATATTAGCGTGATGTCGTATCAAGCGGCACTCACAGACATTTTCGCGGGTTGACGGGTCGTCAGCGGGACCCTCAATTTTAGGGGCGTCACAGCTTGGTATCAGAGTATAGGTATACGAATTACCTAGGGCTTAATGGACATTGGGTTTAGACTATTACATTCATTGTGCATTTCATGTTATATGCTCAACTTTGCTACATGTTATGTGCTACATGTTAGATGAATTATATGTATATGGAAAGGGAAATACTAGAGTTAAAAAACAAAATGATGAACAGTATAGTTCAATGTATAAATGTATACTAGTAGGTGGCACACGCACTACTGAGACAAAGAGAAAAATTTTTAAGTTTTAAACTTGATCCCAATCTTGGGATACTATGTGAATATTCGATTGCTATTTGACATGTGTGTAGATGGCAAATCGAGGAAGAGGACGCTGAGGCGGTGGATGGAACAACCAACCACCACCGGCCTTTGACTAACAAGCCTTTGTGGAGGCTATTGGTGTGGCGGCGGCTACCATTGCACAGGCTAGTACAAGTGGGAGTCAAGGAGGCTCACGTCACCTTCAAGGCACATCAGCCTCCGATCTTCATGGGAGGGGCGGATCCGATGGCGGCTGACCATTAGTTCCGACAAGTGGATAAGGTCTTAAGGGCTATGGAGATCACCTCCGATGCCACAAAAATAACACTAGCTACTTTTCAACTAGAGGGATAATCCCAAGTGTGGTGGAATTGGGTCAAGACCTCGAAGAACTTGGAGGTAATGACATGAGCAGAGTTCAGGGAGCTCTTTATGGACAAGTATTTTCCAGCGGCTGCTAGACATGCAAAAGCCCGGGAATTCTTAGACTTGAGGCAAGGAACTATGATGGTGATGGAATATGTAGCTAAGTTCACTGAGTTAGCCTGTTTCGCCGATGACTATGTGGCCACAGATATGGCCAAAGTGAGAAAGTTTGAGAATGACCTTAAGTTGTCCATCCGGAGTAAAATTGTGGGTCTTCTTCTACAAGACTTAGACTCGATGGTCGCAACAGTCATGGCCATTGAGAGGGAGGTGGATGATGCAAGGAGCATCCGGGAGTCGGGTGCAAAGGACAAGAAGAAGGAGGGTCGATCCTCTTCTTTTAGTTCGGGAAAGAGACAAAAAACTTCTACTCCTCAAGGACAGGGTCGTGGTTATCAAGGTCAAGGTCAAGTCAACGTCAATCTTCCCAAGGTGGGAGAAATCAGAGGCCTTCTTACTAGGCAGGCCAAAGGACTTGCTACCATTGCCATCAGCTGGGTCATATGAACCGAGATTGCCCCTAGAGGCAGGGATCCCAGAGTTATGGGTCATCTCAGTCCCAGACTTCGGGGACAGCCACAGACACATTATACTCCTCACTACCCTACCATGGACTAGGGGAGCTAGTATTAGTTCTAGGGTGCTACACAGGCCTCTGTTACTCCACGGGCAGAGACTCTGCAAGCAGGCCAGATGGGTCAGGGCATGGGTCGAGGCTGAGAACAAGGCTCACAAGCCGGTACTTCAGGGACCCTGGGGCGTGTCTACGCCATTATGCTACAGACTGAGCCGGCAGATCAATCGATAATACAGGGTACATTTCTACTCTCTCACTTATGGGTTAGAGTGTTATTTGATTCTGGTGCATCGCATTCATTTATCGCTACATCATGTGTGAAAGACTTGGGCTTAGAGGTTAAGACCTTGAAAAAGCCATTGCATGTGAGTTCTCTCCTAGTCGATCATATGTCATGTGAGTTCTCTCTACGCGGGTTATGGACATGTCGGGGTTCGATGTCATCCTCGGGATGGATTGGTTGGCTGCACATCGAGTCGTCATGATTGTAGTTGAAAGAGGGTCATTGCTTATACGCCTGATGGTGTTTGTTTCAAGTTCCAGGGGAAAAAGCGTGATGCTTTACCCCAAACCGTGTATGATTCCCGTTGGTACGGACAGTTGATGGGTTGACTTGTAAGCCTTACCCTGGAAGACGAGGCTAGACAAGAGTTAGGTCTACCTCGGGTTGTATGTGAATATGAGGATTTTTTCCGGATAAACTACCACGATTACCTCCACATAGGGAAGTTGACTTTACCATTGAGTTGCATCCTGGCACATTGCCCATTTCTATGACTCCGCATAGGATGACGCCAGCTGAGTTACAAGAACTCAAGGTCCAATTGCAAGAATTGTTGGACAAGAGATTTATTAGACCCAACACTTCACCTTGGGGCGCTCCAGTATTGTTTGCCAAGAAGAAAGATAAGACTCTTCGGTTATGTATCAACTATTTGAACCGGGTTACTATCAAGAATAGGTACCCTTTGCCGATGATAGATGACTTGTTTGATCAACTGAGAGGAGCACGCGTCTACTCCAAGATAGATCTCTGTATCAGTTTCCATCAGTTGAGGGTTAGGGAGGAAGATATCCCTAAGACGGCATTCAGAACGCGGTACGGGCA